TTTTACCTTCTCAATTCAAGAACAAATGCACTTATTTTAAGAAAAAAATGACTTATCTAGATTTTGATTTTTTTCCAGTGCGGCATGTAAAACATGGCTCAATGTTGGAATCAATCTCAAACATCATCTGTTAATGTTGACTTCATCCGCAGAGCAGAAGTTTGGGTTTTATTTCTAGATCTCAAATAGAATTTTCTAACAGCTGTCATTTTAACTAAGGTCCTGAGGATTTATCGTGTTGACTGTGAACAATTAGCGCAGATTACAGGCTGCTTTCCAGCAGAGACTCCCCAAGGATTCATACATATGACTAAACAAGAAGTCAGTCTTGCTATCAAACACTTTGACACTCCCTGTTTTTTTTCTCTGTACGTGAGATTTTGCACCCACACAAGCAAAGGTATTTATTTTTAAGGTGTTCAGCTGCAGAAACTGAAAGGTTTGCAATTTGAAGACATTGCTCATAAAAATTATCCTTCATTGAGCCTCTTACTTGGTTTGTGTTGACTTTGTTCTCGATTATTAGTTGCAGCAGGGAATGTTGTCTTTATGTTATTTATTTTCCATGCCAACAGACATTTTGTTTAATTATTTATAATCACAGTGACGATAAATAGGAAAACCAATCCTCAAAACTGTAAACTAAACAACATAGACACATGTTCGCTAAACATTTATGTCACAGCATGACTCACTCCTCTGTCATCTCCCAGCAAAGCAAAGCTTATTTCCACCATCAGAAGTGTCGACTGGACATTTTCCTGTGTGGACATTCTCATGTGTTGGGCACTTCACTGATGCAAGCTGTGGGCTGCCATTATTGCTGGAGCAACTCCACCATGGCAAAAAGCTGAAGCAAACAACATCTGTAACTGCAACCCGATCTGATACACTGGAAAAACGATCTAGAAATGAGTAAAAATGTCATAAATTAAGTGTATTTACCCTTAATTTGTGTAGGTAAATGAGATGATTTGCCAATGGAAAGAGTATTTTTACTCTTAAAAGAAGATAATTAGATCATATGCACCTGAAAATAGGACAATGCAATTGTGTTTTCTTATTTTAAGTGTAAATTTTCTTGTGCCATTGGCAAAATGTATCTTTTGCCTCCTCAATCCAAGAACAAATTAACTTAATTGAAGAAAAAAATTAGTTATCTAGATTTTTTTTTTTTTTTCCAGTGTAGAGCTTTAAATCTGTCTACAGTTTATTTGGATTTTGAATAAAATAAATAGAAAAGGTGTTTACTAAAATAAAAAGTCTTGATGCAACTGCAGTGTGATGCACAAGGGGGATTGCCCTATTTAGCAACAATAGCATTCTTGTAGCTGACTAACTCTGAGACTAGCATACACTAATTACACTGGAAGAACAATCTAGAAATAAGTGAAAATGTCTCAAATTAAGTGTATTTACCCTTAATTTGAGTAGGTAAATGAGATAGTTTGCCAATGGAATTAATATTTTTCTTCTTAAAATAAGATAATTAGATAACATGCACTTGAAATAAGACAATGCAATAGTTTTTTATTTCTTTAAATGTAAATTGTCTTGTTCCATTGGCAAAATGTATTTTTTAACCCCCTGAATCCAAGAACAAATGCACATATTTTTAGAAAAAATGGCTTATCTAGATTTCTTTTTTTTCCAGAGTATATGTCCAGATCTTTGTCTGAGGCTCTTCTACAAACCTACCTGCTGCCCTCTCGTATTTAGTGACCACAGCCAAAACAGACCTGAATTCCACAACACTGAGCAACGCCAAAAAAAACATTACTGACTAAAACCAACAACATCCTGAATCCACTGAAATCAAGCATTGCTGCA